CACTTTCACCAAATATCAAGTGCTATGCTATTAAAGGATTTCAGAATCAGCACCAGCAGTGGACCCACAAATTTTTACTGCACATGAATAGTCTGATCTTAAGACAGTTTTACCCTTACCCTCCTGCTCTGTGCTTTGTAAGCTTCGACTCTAATTTGGGTCTAGGCAATATAACTGAAAGCTTGCCCAGGTTTGTAGTGCCAGAAGAAAACTATTCTTCTCTAGCTGGAAGACTCTGCAGATTTAGAGGAACAGAACTGCGGACTCCCCCTTGTCTTGAGCTACCTGCCCTGGTTACTTAGCTGCAAGCCTCAGGCTGGACTGGGGGTTGAATCTTAAGCCTTGCTTTAGGGTAGGAGCCACATTCCTCTTGCAAACTATTGTTCCTGCTCCTTTCTCAATACACAGTCTCTAGTTTGAACTAAACCCAACAATCCCCAGGAATCCTTGTTATAGAGTTGCTGGTTTATAATTCCTAGTATGGAGCTCTTCCTTGGTCCAATTTAGATATGTGACCTAGAGCAACACATCGGTGGGCTGGCTCTTATTTTTGCCCCCATTATAGTTTCATTTCCTGTCCCTCCTAGATTGTAGAATGAGTGTCTGTGCTGGAATACTCTGAGTCGATCCTTCCCGTTTGGACTATTTCCCCAGTGCCCATATACTTCTATCTGTGTCTTCATGCTAATCTGGCTTGGAAAAATGACTCATTTTGGTTTTTGCTTTTAATTTTCCAATCATTACTCATGCTGATATTCTTCCTATATCTTTGTTGGAGTTGTTTGATGAAGATTCAGTCAATCAATGAGTATTTATTATGCAGCTGCTATGTGCTAGGCACTTGGCTATGCACTTGGGTTACAAAGAAAGGTAAAAAACAGTCCCTGCTTTCAGAGAAGTCACAGTAATGGAGACAACATGCACATAACTGTATACATACAAGATATAATCAGGATAAATTGGGAATATTATCAGAGTAAAAGCACTAAGGTTTTTAATGATGACTAAGATAGGCTTCCTGTAGAGGATGGGACTTTAGTTGAAACTTGAACCCAGAATAGCCAGGAGCTAGAGACAAGGATTGAGAGGTTTCCATGGAGTGGGCATCCAATGAAAATTCTTGGATTTAGGAGAAGAAATATTGGGACCAGGTTAGGAGTGCCTTTAAAAGTCAAAAAGAGGATTTTATATTTGATGCTGGAGGAGTCACTGGAATTTCTTGAATAAAGGGATATGATGTGGTTAGATCTGTACTTTTCAGGAAGATCAATTTGACATCTGAGTAGAAGATGAACTAGAATAGGCAGAGAATTAAGGCCATGAGACCAACCAGCAAGCTGTTGTAATAATCTAGGCATGAGGTGATGAGGGCCTGACCAGGGAGGTAGTAGTGTCAAAGTAGAGATGGAGATGTATACAAAGGATATTAGGAAGGCCAAAATAACAAGAGTTGACAACTGCTTGGATGTTGAGAGGGATGAGTCAGGTTGACAATTAGGTTGTAAACCTGGGTGACTGGGAGGATGATGGTACCCTTTACGGCAATGTTTCTCAAAGCTTCTTCTGTGGACCTCTGAGAATTCTCATGACGCTTTCAGGGTCTGTAAGGTCAAATCCACTTTTATTATAATAATGATATTATTTGCCTATTAAAATACCCCTTCCTTTTCCAACTACAAATCTATATGAGTCTGGATTTTCTTCATATACTTTAACCAGACTGATAACAGATTGAATGTAGAAGCAGATGTGAGAATCTGTCTGTCTTTTATTAAACTAGACATTAAAGAACCTTGCCAAAATAAGTAAAACAATGCCACTCTTCTCACTAAAGTTTTTTTGGTTTTGAAAAATGTGATTATTTTTCATTAAAATGTCATTCATGCTGACATATAATGGGTTTGCTATTATATTTAAATGAATTAAACAAGTGTTTAAAAAACTTAATCAGTTTTCATTTTTAATATGGTAAAAATGTAACCTACATTTTGAAAAAAGTTCTTTAGGGTTCTCAATAATTTTTAAGAGTAGAAAGTAGTCTTCAGCAATTTTTGAGAGTATAAAGGGATTCTAAAATCAAGAAGTTTGATAACTGTTTCTATAAAGTAACAGGGAAGTTTGAACCTGGGGTTTTACTGCTTCTTCTCACTTTGCTCTCTTTACTAGTCTACCCTTCTCTTTTGAATGGGAAACACCTTTGTATTATTTATTCTGTCCTGAGTTTTCTTATTGCTAGATAGATATCCTGTTTATTTTTGTGGCTTTATTTTATAGCATTCTATTTTTACTAAAACTATTAACTGTCTCAGTTTCTTTGCTGATTCTCTAGGATTTTCTAAGAAACCACATTGGGTTAGTTTCATCTCATCTTTGACTGTCTTTATGCTTTTCATTTTTTCCTTGTCATATTGATATTGTTTGCAGTTCTAGAACTATAACAAATAACAGTGGTGATGAGGGACATCCTTCATTTACTTTTACTTCTTGGAAAATACTAGAAGCTGTACTCATATGCTTATTAACAAAACTTCTAGTATTTGTCCGTTTTACATAATGCCAGATTTTAGTTGAAATAGATTTTTTTTTATCATATTCAGAAAAGCTTTTCATTGCATATTTTTGTGTGGTTTTTTAATATAAGCCAGAATCCTTTGTCAAAGACTTTTTCTGCCTATGACTGAGGTAATCGTGTGTTTTGGTTTATTTTAGTTTTTAATATGGTTAATTATGTTAATTGTTTCCTATAGTTGATCTGGCCTTAAATCCTTGGTATAAACATATCATTATAGCAAAGTTTTTTGGATAATTTTTCTAGAATTTTTTGGGGGATTGGGATTTTATTTATAACTTTAAAATTTATATTCTTTAATGATACTGCTCTAGTTTTCTTTTTTCAATTTTGCCCTTTTCTAGTTTAGGCATCAGGACTGTATTTGTCTCATAAACCGAGCTTGGTAGATTAATTTCTCAATTTTTGAGTAAAATTTGGTTAATAAATTTTATTGGAATTGTTCTTTTAGTTTCTCTCGCTCTTCCTTTCCATTATTCTCTTAGTAATTCCTTTATGGCTAGCTGAATTTACTTTTATGAAATTGTATTATTTAATATCTCTATTTGGTATTCTTTTAAATTTTGTTACCTTTATATTTTTATGGATTATTTTTTATTTCTTCTGACTTTTCAGTTTTGTAGGCATTTGTATCACTTACTTTGTTGCTGTGATTAGTTTTGCTTAAAGTACTATGATTTTAATCACATTTATACAGACTCCTTTCTCTCACCTACTTTTCAATTTTTTTCCCTGAATTTGGGGTTTTACTCAAATTATATATTTAATTTATTTAGTTAATTATTTGCTCCCCTTCTTTTTTGCCATCTTTCCTCCCTCTCAATTATGTGCTTATTTTCAAAGTACTGTCCTCCCTTCTCCTCAGACTTCTTATATTTGCTAGTTTTCTTTTTCTGTAGCTTGTTTATTCACTTCACTTAGTCTATTCTGGAATTTTATTTTGTGATTCATAATAAGTTTGCAAAGGCAAAGCTAGAAATCTTTTTGAAAAGATCACAGCTCCAATTTTATACTTACCTGACATGGATGTAACTGTACTCAAGACAAATTATGAATAATAAGCTAAGAAGCTGCTAAAATTAATGGAAAACTCATTTAATATAAAAGCTTAATAAAAGCTTTTTTCTTTACTCTCTGTATTACATGTGTGGTTAAAACTTTTGAAATACTGGTTTTGATTTTCCTTTTCTAACCAATTTCTATATTATTGCCTTTATAGATCTTGCCCCATTATCCCTTTTTTCTTTTGTGCCTCGATATTTTGTTTATTTATTTGTGAGGCAGGTAATATTGGATCAAAACAGTGCCCTATGGTAGACATTGCCCTGTGTCTCATTTGTTTCTAGTTCTAACTGTTGACTTCCCTATTTGCTAAGCCGTCATATATCACTGGCTCCTTGTCTTTCACCTTTCATAATAGCTGCTCCTTACCCCTTTCTCCCAGACTAGGATGTCTAGACTTGGCAGTCAGAGAAAATGGTTTCCCATTGCATGGTCTCCTCATAGATTATGAAAGACATCTCTTATCATTGACATACATCTCTTCCCCTCTGAGTCTATTCTTCAGTGTTTCACTCTCTTTTTCCTTTGGGTTGAGATGCCCTCCCTTTATTCCTTCTAAAAGTTTCACTTCCTTCTGCCTTTCCAGTTCTCCTGCCACCTTTCTTTTTCTTGCTGAGATAGTATAGGAGTCACTATCCCTTTGCTATTCATTCATGTACAGCATGAATGAATCTTATCCTTCTTATCCTTCTTTACATCCACCCTGTCACTCTGCAGTTTTGTCCCACAAAATATATTGGTTAACTTGTAGGATGATTTGGAGTTTTAGAATGCTCTCTGTTGACTTGGGTTTTTATTCAGTTTTCTTCCTCTTGAAATCTGGTGTTCCGGCTTTTAAAAAAAATAGTCACCTGTCATTTGATTTCTGACTCTTCCCTCTTTGATACTAGAAACACTTATGGAGGCTGGACTATCTCAGCTTCCCCCTGATTTGGGGCATTTACTTGTTGATTGATTGCTTCTATAATAGTTTGGAATCAAGAACTGGTAACAGATGGACATTATATCAGTATTCCCTACCCTTAATGGAAGCATTGACTTGTTAAAGGTCTGTAATGCATTCAGTGAAAGGTATAAATGGCTAATGTATTAAATATTTCTACCTTAGAAAATTAACTTGCAATACCATTGTTACACTGTTAAATCTAAAGAACTAGGTATGAAGAGATTCATAGTATATCAGCTTTGCCAACTACTAGTTATGTTACCTGGAACAACTTAATCTTTGTAGATTTCAGTTTCTTTATATACATGACAGTTGTAATAGCTAATCTCTCAAGTTCCTATTCAGTATGAAATTCTATGATTCTCTTGTAATTTTTTTTGCATTTCATTTTCTAAAATATAGTTTTGTTTTTTTCCTTCCCAGAATCTATATCGATTTGAAGGAACTGGGTTTACAAATATTCCTCAACTTATAGATTATCATTATACAACAAAGCAAGTCATTACTAAGAAATCAGGTGTAGTCCTGCTGAATCCTGTTGTTAAGGTATGTTCATCTGTTTTTTTAAAAAGAAGAATTCTTAATGTGTCTCCCTTTCATGTAATAAAAACAATTTTCAGATATAAATGTCAACTTTAGGACAGATTTTAAATTTTGTGTGATACTCTCATTAATGTAGTTAGAACCTTCATTTTCAATATTCACTGAAATAACATACCTGTCAATTATTGCCAGAATACAGATTAACTGAGTATTCTTCCTAATATATACATAATTCATCAATTGTATGCTACATGTGACGCTGAAAATACATTGACATTTATCATTCCCACTGTAACATCAAGACTTGTTGATATCGATTTAGTAAATGTTTATTAATTGCCTAATATTCCAGCATGGTGATAGACACTGGGGTACAGTGACAATAAAAAATTCAGTTCCTGCCTTCAAGGAGCTTATACTCTATAGGTTGAAAACAATATACGTATAATAGGAACAAACTGTTTATTGTTTGGTTGATTGATGTAAATCAATTAAAAAAAAAAGGAATTTCTGGGAGAGTCACATAGCAATTTGGGAGAAATCACACAATAGACTTCCTGTAGGAGATAACACTTGAACTGAGCTTTGAAGGAATGTAGGGATTCTACAAGGAAGAAGTGAGGAGGGGGTACATTGCTGGCAGGTGTCAGAGAAACAGCCTATTATGCAAAGACTCAGAAATAGGAGATGGAATTTCAAGTGTAGGGACAGCAAATAGGTAAATTTGGCTGGTGTGCAGAGTATATGAGGGAGAGTTATATGCAGTAAGTTTGGAGAAGTAGTGTGGAGCCAAATTGTGAAGTCTTTTTAACTCCAAAGAAAGGAATTTATATTTTGTCCTCAAGAAAAGAGGGAATGGGGCAGCTAGGTGGCACAGTAAATAGAGCACCAGCCCTGGAGTCAGGAGGACCTGAGTTCAAATCCAGCCTCAGACACTTGATACTTACTAGCTGTGTGACCCTGGGCAAGTCACTTAACCCCATTGCCTAGCCCAAAAAAAAAAAAAGGAAAGAAAAGAAAAAAAAAGAAAAGCTTCTTAAGAGAAGTGACATATTCAGACCTCTGGTTTTAGATTACCAGTTCAATAACTTTTTAGAATGGGTTAAAGAGCCTGAAAGCTGAGATACCAATTACGAGACTGTTTCAGTAGTCCAATTGAGAGATGATAAGGACCTGAAGTAGAGTGGAGATGAGGCAGTAGATATGAGGCACGTTGCAGAGGTAGAATCTACAAGACTTGGCTGCTGACTGCATGTGAAGGAAAGAGAAGAAAGAAAGGTAACTCCAAGAACATGAACTTGATTATCTGGGTGGATGGTAGTACCCTCATTCAAAACAGGAAAATTAGGAAGGTGACTTTGATGGAAAGATAATGGGTTCTCTTTTATACATATTGAGTGTGAGATGCCCATGAGGCATCTAGTTGATAATATTTAATAGGCAGTTGATGATACAGGACTTCTGGAGGGAGACTAGGCCTTGATACATAGATCTAGGATTATCTGGCATTATTTCCTTACAAAGAAATTCTAATACTACAGAAATAGTCATCATAGGAACTCTTTAAATAATGGGCTTCTTTCCCACTTCAGAGATTTGATTTTATGTTTCTAATTTTCTTATTTTTCCTTTGGGAGCATACTTGTTACATAAAATGTGGTACATCTTAACTGCATACTATTTTAAATAGAGGGATTTGATGAAGTCTATATTTTCTGTTTTCTTTCCATTCCATCCAATAAAATAAAATGTTTGGGGAGTTTATTATATACTTTAGGACCTCACTAAAATCTTACTCTGATTTGACATTTTGGCATGAAAGTGAGCCTGTATTCTTAAAGATTATGTCAGCAGAACACAAACTCTAGAAATTTTTGCCAAGCTAAAAAGACATTGAGTCTAATACTGTCTGCCCAAGTTTGTTGTGTCTCATCAGATAATTTTTTTTCCAGTCAACAACCCATAAAGATAATTTTACAAAATTGTAAGAAGTTTTCATCTGCATTAGCAGAGGTAGACGGTCCATTATGATGAAATCACTGTTCTTTAACATTCTGGAGTTTGATATTATTTAAATTTATTTGAATATTTCAAAATATGATTTTGTTTCATATGATTACTCATTCCATCGGTACAGGCTATTAAAACTTCTAAAGCCCCTCCAACATTTGTCATTTTCTTTTTTTTTTGGTCAACTTTGCTAATCTAATTGGTATGAAGTAGAATTTCAGATTTGCTTTAATTTGTATTTCTGTAATTACTAGTAATTTGGAGCATTTTTATGTGGCTTCTGATAGCTTTTTTTATTCTTATTCTTATTATTTTTATTTTATTTTTATTTTTTGACTATTAATTCAAGAATGGCTGTTGTTCCTATAAATTTAACTCAGTACTTTATGTATCAGAAAATGAGACCTTTATCAGAAAAAACTTGCTGCAAAATCTCTTCATCCCCAGTTAACTGATTCTATCCTAGTTCTAGTTGAATGAATTTCATTTCTGAAAACTTAAACATTTTGCATAATCAGAATTGTCTGTTCTGTGGTCCTGTGGTCCTCTCTATCCCTTATTTGATCCTGAAGTCTTCCCCTATCCATGGATCTGGTAATTTCGCCCTCTTCCTTTAAGGTGCTTATGGTATGGCCTTTTATATCTAAATCTTATATCCATTTGGAATTTATCTTGATGTGAATTGTTCATCTAAATCTAATTTCTTCCAGGCTGCTTTCTAGTTTCCCCAGAAGTTTTTGTCAAATAGTGAGTCTTTACCCAGTAATTGGAATCTTTGGATTTGTTGAGTAGGTTCATTTGAGTCTTTTATGTTAGGAACCTAATCTGTTCCACTGATCATCTCTTTTTTTTTTTTTATGAGTACCAAATTGTTTCAGTGATTACTGCTTTTCATGATATCTTTTGAGATCTGGCATTGCTAGGCCACTTAACTTTTCCGTATTTTTCATTGTTTCCCTTAAGATTATTGTTCTTTTGTGCCTCCAGTTGAATTTTGGTATAATTTTTTTCTAGCTTTGTAAAGTAACCCCATTTAGTATGACTCTGAATAAAGCAAATAATTTTGGTAGTACTGTCTATTTTGTTGTTTGTGGTATTTTTTTTTGCCCATTATGTTCAGGGCCTGCCAGTTCTTTTCTAAGGAAGAATTTATGATATAAAGACATGAAGCTTCTGTGTAATCTTCAAGTCTTTGACTTCTTTCATTCTTTCTTCCTGAATCCTACTTTCCCAAATATTTATTACCATCTCCATCTTTCCCCACATTTAAAGTCACTAAAACAGAACTCTCTATTTTTCCTTTCAAGGTGTCTCTCTCTCTCCTCTTAACTTCCCTATTACTATCCAGGTTAACACTGTACTCCCAGGCCCTCAGATTCAGGTTGTCATCATAGATTCCTCACTCTTATCCCCCACATCCAATTTGTTGACAAAGCCTATCAATTTCACCTTTGCAACATATCTCTCGATTACACCCACTTTGTCATTACTCTAGTGCAGACCCTCTCATCACCTCATATCTGGACTATCGCAGTAGCCTGCTGGTGGGACTCTCTGTCTCCATTCTCTTCCCCTACTGTACTCCATTCTCCATTCAACCACCAGAATGATTTACCTAAAACATAGGTTCAATCACTCTCCTGCTCACTAAACTCCAGTCATTCCGTATCACCTCCAGAATCAAATTAAAAAATCATTTGGTATTCAAAGTCCTTCATAACCTAGATCCCTCTACCTTTCCAGTCTTCTTGTACTTTTTTCTCCACTGTGTAATCATTGATGCAGTGACACTGGCCTCTTTGTTCCATGAACAATACGTTCTACCTCTCAACTCTAGGCTCCATATGTCCCCTGTCTCTATAAAGCTCTCCCTCCTCATCTCTGCTTCCTGGCTTCCTTTAAGTCCCAACTAAAATCCTATCTTTTACAGGAAATCTTTTCCAAATTCTCTTAATTCTGGTCCCTTCTCTATTAATTATTTCTTTTTTATGTGTGTATGTACCTTATTTGTACTTTGGTTGCAACTCCCATTAGATTGTGAGCACCTTGAATGTAGGGACTGTCTTTTGCTTCTTTTTGTGTCCCCAGCTCTTAGCACAGTACCTGGCACATAATAGATATTTAATAAATGTTTGTTGACCGACTGGTCGCTGATATTTGATCTGTTCTTAGTGGCTTTCTGGTAGAGCCTAGAAGCTCTTGATAACATCATGTAACCAAGGCTGGTCACTGTCTTCTTGTCTCCTTCTAGACTTTTTCATAGATTACCAGATCAGTCCTTTAGCCAGCTTACTTAATCTTGGTCACCAAGTTAAACCATGTAATGTTTCTATGGGCACACTGAACTACACATATCATGATGTTTAACTAGCTTTCAAATAACTTTCCTGTGAGATTTCCAGTCCTCTCATGGAATATATTGAGTAAGAAACAGAGAAAAAATCATGTTGATTGGATCATAAAGTGTGTAAGGGAAGTAATGTCCAATGACATTGGAAAGACAGGTTAAAACCTGATTCTTAAGGGCTTTAAACGCTAAGCCAAGGTGTTTTGCATTTTATCCTAAAGTCAGTAACAAACTATTGGAGTTGACTGAGTAGGGGAGAAAAATGGTCAGTTCTCTATTTAAGGAAAATTACTTTGGCATTATTGTCTAGGATGGATTGGAATGGTAACAAATTTGAAGGTGGGAAACAAATTATGAGGCTGTTGCAGTAATCTAGGTGAGATTTGATAAGGGTTTGAATTTAGGTGATAGCTATGTGAGTGGAGAGAAAGAATAGGATGTGAGAGATGTTGTGAAAGTAGAACCAGCAAGATTTGGGGACTGACTAGAGGTGTGGGATGATAGTAAAGAGTCCAGTATGATGATGATATTAGGAAACTCAGAGACTGGAAGGACGGTGGTGTCTTTGATAGAAACAGGGACGTTTGGAATAAGGAATAATTGAGGGGGAAAAAAGATAGTAAGTTATGTTGTTAGACACATTGAG